ATTGCTGGTGATAGTCCTAAATATTCATTATCACATGAGATTCAAAGCCTGAATTTGCCATACCAAAGACAGTCTTGGTACGTATGTGGTATAACAAATTAATGACTGCTTTTGTTTTAATATGGTTTCTCTGGTTAGCATTGTGAGTATATCATTTTTCTATGTTTACTACACATGTAATTTTTATCTTGTAAATTTCCTTTTGTATTCTTTGTTCATTTTTATTTTACTTGCATATTGGACTAAGCAAAGTCAAAGTAAATCTGCATTTTTTGGACTATTACAGCTATTTATATCTATGAGCAGTAATTGTAGTAGTGGAATTTAAAGTCAAAGGGTCAAACAGTAGGAACTCGTGACATAGGACTTGGGTTGGAAAACTGGCTCTTCCCCTTGGGTGACTTTGAGTAAAATTATTCTACTGTGTTTTCCTTCAGTGTCTTTTCTTAAAATAGGGGTATTAGGAGTTCTTATGTCATAGGATTGTTGTGAGGATTAAATAAGTGATTGAAACAGTGTCTGACACAGAAAGCTCTCTATAAGTAGAAGTTATTATCTTTTATCGTTCCTATCAGCCGATTATCTCTTTTAATATTGCTTCTCCCCTATTCTCTTTTGGAGCTTCTATCAGAAGTATGTTGGACCTTTCTTATTGCATTCTCTGTGCATGGCCCTTCAGGATGTAATTTTCTACCTACAGCTGTGTTCTCATATTGTTTTTAGCTCTTGGGATTTCCTCTTTGAATTGTTTTTGACTCTCTTAAAAACATTTTTTTTTTGGTTATATTTTAATTCACCTATTTCTGTGTATTTTAAAGACTGAGCAACTAAATCCTCCATACTTCTGGTAGCATTCCATTATTTTTATGCTTAAAAGGATTCTTTCATTCAATGAACTTCATCTATATATCATATATGTATTTTTAGTGTTTATTTTCTTCTTAATTTTTTTTTAACATCAGTGTTTAATTTACTTTTCTTCTCATTTTTAGTGTGTGAGGGTGAGGTCCTACCTTTAATTTTCCCCTAAATAGTAGTGGTTTCCATTTTATCATCCATAAAGTTTAGCCTTTATCAATCTGGATAACTCCCAGACATATTAAAAAAAAATAAAAGAAAAAACAAAATTAGCAAGGGAATACTGAAATGCTTTTAATTAAGTATGAAACATAATTTACCAAAATTCTGTTCCATATTTACTAAAGTAAACAGCTTTAAATTTTCAAATACAAAAAGTTGGTTTTGTTTGGTGATGTCTTTTTATGTGTTAAACACACAAGTTTCTTGATATCAGACTCGAACCCCATTTTTTTATTCCGCAGTAAATCTGAAGGTTAAAAAACAGCAGTTTTGTCATACTATTGATATTTAAAATGTTAGGTTTTTTTATTTTTGGTATTCTTAACTTATCACAACAAGGTCTCCAGAGTGATTTAATCTGTGAATATCAATTGAAGTCTAAGAAAATCTCATGTTTATTTTATATTCAGATACACGACTTATTTCTTGTATTCATATGTGTTTAGAACAAATAGGTCAAAGATAGTGTAAGCTAAATTATTTATAAATAATGTTATAACTATCAATTTTTAGGTTATTTCATTATGTAAGAATGGTTGATGATTTTTAGTCCTGGGTGCTTGGGAACAGTCTTACCATCTTATTATCCTTTGTTGTTAAAAGATACAATGTAGAGGAAACAAATGGAAAGCAGTGATTTGAACATGTCATTAACTGCAGTAAGATTGATTTAGCTTAGAAAATGTTTATGAGTGTTATAGAACTGGTTGAAGAGGAATTCTGTTAGAAAGCAACACACAGAGAATTATTATATTTATGTTCTCAAGAACTGATTTTGAGGTGAGACAGGTGAACACTTGCAGATGATACTCATATTTGTGTTAGAGAGCTGAAAGTTCCTGAGTCTGGCATAGGTCAAGGGAGCTTCTGTGGAGAGGTGGGCTTTGGTTGGGTCGTTTTGCAGGATGGAAGGCTTGTAATACATTAATGCCTCGTGACTTGTATTTAACTCATTAGTTTTGAGCCAGGGTCTGGTGAAGCATATGTAACTCACATGTTCTTCACATTGGAGCTGTGAGAACTATTTTCAAAGTTGCCGTATAAACTCAAGGCACAGAAAACAAAAAATAAAAATGTTTTCAATAAATTAGAAAGGATCATTTGTTTTTGAAGTTTTATCTATTTTCATACAAAGCACTGTGGCCCCTAAGGAAAAATAATTTTTTTCCTAGTGTGATAGGTCATGTTGTTAAATTGTGGTAAAGTGTGGTGGACAGGGAAGTATACTTGTATGGTGATGATACGCTGAATGATGAAGCGTGACCACAGGACTGAAATACTAAGAGAAATGTAAGACAGAAGGGAGACGTTTCTGTATTAGAGGAAATTCAGGATGAGAACGGGGAGGAAAGGGTTGAAAGACAGTGAAATCCAGCAAAGAGGTACTGTAGATTTCTGGCAAAGAATGGCATGTAGAAAAGAGAAGAGGTCGGTCTACTGCCTTGATGGGACAGAATAAACAATTCTAAAGAGAGAAAAAAGCATACAGAGAAAAGAATCAGTCACTGACTTTGGAAAATGCCAGTATTGGGAATAAGCAGGAAGAACGGAAAGAACAGAAAGGGGGTTAAAGATGTAGGTGAGAACCAGGAACAAGGTAGGATGCTGGTTGAATTTTTGTTGCTCATGATATAATCAGTAGTGTTGAGTGAATTATTTTTTCCATATTGACTGATGATAATTCTATGAACTTGTGTGACTTCAGAAGAACTATATGGTTAAAAACTAGCATTAACCATCAATATCAATTGTATTTATTATAGAGAACGGAGTCTCCACTCTGTTGGGCCCTGGGCTAGAGTGCCGGTAGCATCAGCCTAGCTCCAGCAACCATCATCTCACTGGCTCAGGCGATCTTCGGCCTCAGCCTCCGCAGTTAGCTGGGATACAGGATGTGCCACATACCGGCTAATTTTTCTGATATATTTTAGTTGGCCAATATAATTCTTTCTATTTTTAGTAAGACGGTCTTGCCTCAGGCTGTTGTCGAACTCCTGACCCCTGAAGCAATCCTCCTGCCTCGCCTCCACGAGTGCTAGGTACAGGCGGGCTTAGTAAAGCAATCCTTGGGTTATATGAATCATTTCATTGATTCTTAGGTATGTGAAGCAAAGTAATGTGAAATCGGCTATACACATACGATCAGCAGCAATAGCTAGGTGTGAGATAACATTAGGCCTAGTGGTTGAGAGTGGGCTGGAGGTCGCTAAGCGTGAGGGCTTCGGAAATGTTATTCGCAGATGGGTAGGGAATTGCACACGTGAGTTATACTGGAGGTGTTATGTATGGGGTAAGAAGTAGCTGGGAAATTAGCCTTAAAACGCCTGTTGAGTGCATTTTGCTGAATCACTGTAAATGCTTAGCAAGAGAGGCAGACTAGAGTGTTTTATTTGAGATTCTGGGCACTATGGAGGGTTTATATTATAGATGCTCCCAAATTGGCCTTACAACTCCCTTTTATTTATGTATTTGTTTAAAATTTCTTTAAATTTGTTAAATTGAATATATAAAGTTACAGTAGTGTAATAAATGTGTATTCGTAAAATGTGAAAAATTCTTTTTAATGAAAAAACAATTTTTGCTCAACTCTCCAAACTGATTTGACGTTAATATATGTTTGTTGTTGTTGACTTAGATGATTATAAACCTAAAACTTGTAGTGGCCTTAGGTTTGATTACATTTTTCTAGGACAAAGTCAAAACAAACTTATGTAAGAAGTAAAACAGATGTATGAAAAAGTAAAATTAAAGATGACAATGAACAATTGTTGTGATAAGGTTCATGTTTCTGGTCTGCAAAATAAACATTCCAAGAGGAATTACCCCAGCTTGAGACCAGGTTCCTCCTTTTTTTTTTTAATAAACTATTTTGTTTTTTTTTTTATTCGGCATATTATGGGTACAGATTTTAACTGTTTTAATAAATGCCATTTCCCCTCCCCCACAAGTCTTGAGTCTCCATCATGACGCATCCAGATGGTGCACATCTACTATTTGTATGTATGAATACGCCTCCCCTCCCACCTGCCAATACTATTACTGTAGTATCTATGTGACCATTAGTGCTGTTCAGTTAATACCAGATTTGTGCTGGTGAGTAGTATTCTGTGCTTGTTTTTCCATTCTTGGGAAATTCATTAATAGTATGGGTTCGCTCGGTAACCAAGAAATATAAATGTGCTATGTCACATTGTTTCTTAGAGGCTGTATACTCATGGGTATACATTGATCAGCCAATTTTATTTATTTATTTTTTATTTATTTTTTTTCACACAAACCCCACACCCTGGTTGGAGACAGAGTCTCACTTTGTTCCCAGGCTAGAGTGAGTGCCGTGGCGTCAGCCTAGTCACAGCAACCTCAAACTCCTGGGCTCAAGCGATCCTCTTGTCTACTCCCGAGTAGCTGGACTAGCAGCATGCACACATGCCCGGCTAATTTTTTTTTTTATATATCAGTTGGCCAATTAATTTCTTCTTTTATAGTAGAGACGGGTCTCGCTCTTGCTCAGGCTGGTTTTGAACTCCTGACCTTGAGCAATCCGCCCGCCTCGCCTCCCAAGAGCTAGGATTACAGGCGTGAGCCACAGCGCCGCCTACATAAGCTTTGTAAGAAATGAATTCTAATTTATCTCCAGAAACTGAAGATTAATTGTCAAATAATACATTTAATATCATAAACCTCTTACTAATATCATTAAATAATATCAAGAACCCCTTTTAAAAGATCAACTTCTAAATTCCTATGTTAAGGTAACATTACATGTAATTTTGTTTTTCTTTTTAAAAATTTCCACTACTACAGTGGAAATATAATTTCTACAAATAAAAACTATTTTTAACAACTTTAATAAGTATTGGTTTGGGGACTGAATCTAACTTTCAGAATCAGTACTATTTTCCAGCAATTCACCAGCTTACCTAACAGCTGTGGCTCTGTGGATGAGAATCTCTGTTTGCTCCGACAAGGCTGATGGAAGCAGCAGCTCAACAGGCTGCAGACATGATATCCGTGTCTCCAGCTCTGAACGGGAAGCAGAGTCCTGGAAACTATCAAACACAACCTCACCTGTGGCTGGCTGCACTCCCTGAAAATAAATACAAATGGGATGTCACAGAAAATATATTTTTTTCCAGTTATATCAATGACACAGGCATAAACCTGGAAAAAGTAAAGATAATATACTCTCTAGTATGCAATCCATTTCTGAAATATTGGGAAAACTATGAGCTTTTCAAGACTCTTACATACCAGGTCAGATTCCCAGATATTTAAACTATGCTAAATGGGATTTTCAAGAGACACCCTGAATACAAAGTCCTAGATCTAATATACCTAATGGAGTGACTACAGCAAGTCACCAAACCCTACTGGGCCTCAGTTTCTTCCTCCCTAAATGGGAATAAACCAGCCTACTTCCTTCATAGGGTTATTGTAAGGACCAAATCATAAAATAAATGTGAATTATTTGTGAACTACAAAGTACGATACAAATAGTAGTTATCACCACTAAAAGCAACAAGTGATATGATCCTAGTAAAATGATCACCAGAATAATAGTAAAGTACTACTTCATTATATAAAATACATAAAAAGTATAATTTTTACAAAAAAGATTAAATATAACAAATTTTTGAATAAACCCCTAGTCTATCCAGTGAAATAACCATGCCAACTTAAAGCCATCCCCTAAAACCCTATGCCAATAATGGCAAAGATAAACTGGAAAAGATCACTGTTTGGAAGAGGTGATGTGAAGTTACTTAGCTGAAGTCCCAGAGTGACAATGTGCTGGAACCAAGGTTCAAACCCAGGTAATCTGACTCCTGGGCATACTTTATCCACTACTGAAGCTGATGAAATGCATGGGGCTAGTTACAGACCGCATTAGCTTAGAAGGGAAAAAGTTACTAATCCCTGTATTCATATGCCACTGACGGAAAGCCAACCGACACAGCCACTTCTGAAAATAGTCAGGCATTATCTAGGAAAGTGGAAAATATCCATACCCTGTAACTCAGCAATTCCTCCCCTAGGTACACACTCCTAAGAAACTCGAGCATATGTATACTAGAAGATACCTACAAATATGTTTAAAGCAATATTCTCTGTACAACTAAAAACTAGAAAGAACCCACATGTACATCTATAGAGGAATGAATAAACAATAAATGATGAAATGCAATAGGACACAGCAATGAGTAACCTACAACACATGTAAAGAAATGTCACATACAAAGTGGTAAACAAAAGGAGCAAGACCTAAAAGAATACACACACATATTTACATTTGTATATAAAGTTTAAGGTAGTAAAGTTGGAACTAAAAGCCAGGAAATTATTCTTTTCTGGATTATAGTCACCTCTGGAGGCAAGAGACACACAAAGAACTTTATTTTTCTTCTCATTTTTTTTTGTTTTTTCTGAGATAAAGTCTTGCTCTGTCACCCAGGCTAGAGTGTCATGGCATTAGCCTACAGCAACCTCAAACTGCTGGGCTCAAGCAATCCTCCTGCCTCAGCCTCCTGAGTAGGTGGGACTACAAGTCAGTACACCCATCCCCAGCTAATTTTTTCTATTCTTAGTAGAGACAGGTCTCGCTCTTGCTCAGGCTGGTCTCGAACTCCTAACCTCAAGCAATCCTCCCACCTTAGCCTTCCAGCATGCTAGAATTATAGGCATGAGCCACCGCACCTGGCCCAGAGACCTTATAGTTTGTAGGTATATTAGAGTACCTGACCTGTGTGAGTGCCTCATGTTACCCTGCAAATTTCTGTTTTATGCATTTTGGCATTTTAATATTTTGTAATTGTTTAAAATCTCCCATTTGTAGCTCAAGGAACTAACTTAATTCTAGCCCAGGGGCCTTCTCCAGTTCCCAGAGAGTTGGACTGTCAGTACAGTAGGATACATACATAAACTTATGTCCCAATCTATAAACCAAGCATTTACAAAAGCCATGTTTGGCTTTTGTAAATGTTGAAATAACAAATTTATCCGTGAGACAAGTTCCCTTTTGCTGTATTTAATCAGAGAAGTGGTCTATACTGTAATACCCACAACAGCTATTACTCTGTGTGATATGAGACATGGAGAAACCTAAAAAGTCAGTCCATATAAAACTGTGTTGCCCAGACTGGAGGCACAGGGCCTCATCATGGTAGTGCTACAACAGCAAAGCCTATGGTTTCAGATGACTCAGTACCCAAAAGATGACTCCCCAATAGTGACCGGGGAATGTATAATACTCATCATGTTTAGAGAAAATCCAGGGAGAACAATGTTGTGGGTAAAGGAAAATCAGATCTCATTTCAGCCACATTGGGCTTAAGGAGCAAGAGCAAATTCTAAGTGTCTTTGTTCAATAAAAATTTGAATGCAGGAGCCTGGAGCTCAAAAGAGGTGCAGCCTGGACCCAGAGCTCAGCAAGTCATCAGTCCAAAAACAGTTGTTAAGGTCAAGGACAGGCCCTAAAAAACTCTTTTGGGGAAACAAACACTATTCATCTTTTCAAGCCCTAGTTCACACACATGGTTAACTTTGGAGGTAGGCCAGAGAGTATTCCTAAACACACTAAGTAGGAATTACATACCATTAACTCTGTTCTTTAGAATGGGTTTCTGGTAAATATAAAATAGTACATTACATATGTTAAAGCTTAAAAGCAAACAAACTTCCTATCTGTAGACAAGTTCAGCTGCCTGTAGCTAGATAAAAAGTGCTTCTCAGCCAGGTATGGTGGCTCATGCTGTAATCCTAGCACTCTGGGAAGGCCAAGGCAGGAAGATTGCTTGAGCTCAGGAGTTCAAGACCAGCTTAAGCAAGAGCGAGACTCTGTCTCTACTAAAAATAGAAAAGACAGCCAGGTGTCATGGCATGCCTATATTCCCAGCTACTTGGGAAGCTGAGGTAGGAGGATCGCTTGAGCCCAGGAGTTTGAGGTTGCAGTAAGCTATGATGATGCCACTGCACTCTAGCTCAGGCGACAGAGTAGACTCTGTCTCAAAAAAAAGTGTTTCTCAAAGATAAAAAAATCACTTAGAGCCATCCAACACCAATAGTAATGCTAAGTCCCTGAGAGAAGGGCTTATTAGTTAAATAAATATCAAGTTAGCACAGAGTGATACAGTCATTAAAAGGTGGCATATCCTAGAGCACATGGACCAAAACTATCTGCTAGCTTTCCATAGCATAGAGTACCAAGCAGACATATGAGAAAACTGTAACTAGTGATTTGACATATATTTTGAGGAAAATGCTTTTCTAGTACACTTACTTGAAGGCACACTTCATCAGATATCATTACAAGCCATACATTACTCACCTTTAGAGATACTATAAACATCTGTCATTCTTTCTGCACCTACAATATACTTACCACAATGCCAATGAAAATGTTTCCCTTTTTTGTCTTAACATTTTCTGTATTTTCACAGATACACAGAAGATAGTTGGCAGAAGTATCAGTCATTATCTCATCGACATTTATAGCATCATCCAGTTTGATTAGGGGATTCACATGTAATAATAATTAAGGAAAAATATACACTAAATTCCCATTAACTATTTTCTCCTTTAAAATTATGGTTCATTTCACCCAGTACTTTTGCTCTGTACAAGAATATTCTGTCCTGCATTCATTCTTCTGATTTATTCTGATCATAGTTGCATTCCTGATATTCCCTAAGATATAAGGATCATGAAGACAGATAACTATTATCTTCTCACTTTCACAGGGCCTAGAAGAGTACATCAGTTCCTATGAAAGCTCTAATGTTACCCTACTTCTTTACTCAAATGGTGCTGAGACTTTAACAATCCCATAATGTTTAATTCTAGAAGCCAAAGCATAAACACACTAAAATGCTATACATTATCTATCTCCCTTAAAGTGCCTAAAGCTCCCAGAAATAGCAAGAGAATTTTTTAAAGATGTAAGAGAAAAAAACAGAAATATAAATACATACATATATGTACATGTGTATGTATGTATAAAATGAGTCCATTAATTAAATTCTCAGTGATCAAACTTATTTTTAACAAAGTTAGTCTGGGTACCTCCAATCTGGAATCAGAAAAGAGCTTATATAAGTCAAGAAGCGAGAGGACATAATATAGATATCTTCAAAATGAAAGAGACTCAAGCTTAGGCAAAAGAAAAACTAAAATTACTTTCAGTCTGATTAATTTAGAACAACACAGGGCCATTAATGGATTAGACTCAATATCTGATGACAGAGATTTCTATTATGAAATATTGAGCCCATATTATGGGTGAGTACAGAAGTTGTAAAATAAAGAAGATCTGTAATAAGCCATAACAGAAATAAATACTATATCACACAAAAAGTAGCATATTATATCACTAGCCACCAGAGATACATAGACATCAACACCTGAATACCTAGCACTCTGGGAGGCTAGGCGGCCAGATTGCTCGAGGTCAATAATCAACCAGCCAGAGCAAGAGTGAAGACCAAACCGATCCTACTATATACAAAACTACACAAGATTAATTGAGCCACTAATATAATAAAGAAAAAATAGCAGTTATGGTGCACAATGCCATGAAAGTGACCCAGCATACACGAAAGAGCTAAAGGCAGTAAAGATAGCTGTGAAGCCCAAGAGTTGAGGGTTGCTGATGAGCTAGCTTGAACACCAAACACGGCACTCACTCTAGCCCTGGCAACAAGCAAACTCTGTTCAAAAAAAAAGATTCCGATGTATCCTAAATTAACTTTAATTATAAGAGACTGACCAGCCACTTCCATAATAACACCATTTTAAAATGTACTATTATCTCATTTTTTAAATAATTATTTGGTTTTTAAAATTGACAAAATTTTATAACTTTGCTTTTGGAATTATTTCACTTCAGGTAACACTGACTTTATGAACAACTATAAATCTGGGGGCAATAACTGTACACACTGAAAATTCTTGCAAAGAGAGAAAAAGCTTGACCTACAATCTATTTTCAAAACTAATAAAATTTTTATGAAGTTAACAATGAAGATGGACTGCTATTATATTTTACAAGCATTTAATTGTAACATAATTTTGACTTTGATGGTTTTTTCACATTTTGAAATTAATAAGTTATTTTTTAGGGCCTTATTTTGAGACGACCCTGAGAAGCTTGTAGGCCTTAAGCATCTTACTGCTGCCCACAAATGAACGGTCTAGGGAAGATGTAATTTTAAATAGGTACTTTACCCCATACGTTTTATAGAAGGCATCCTCGAAGTACAGCCCAACGGCCACATGCCGCCCACCTAGGAAATTTATCTGGCCCGCCAGGTGTTTTTGCCGCAGCTGCCTGTCCTGCTTAGCAGCTGACTTGTCCAGGGCCCACATACGCACTCTCCAATGGTCTGAGGGACAGTGAACTAGCCCCCTGTTTAAAAAGCTTGAGGACCCCTGTTTTATAGGGTCACTTTTTTCTTGCTCTAAAGGAATCAAGAATTCTCCTTTCACTATGGCACTTGAAAAATGCTTGTTTCCAGCCATTATCAATCCTTCTGTCTTTAGTAGTGCATCTAATCAAGAGTCCAGGTAACCATACTGTCTCATCTCATCAAAAAGGTACCCAAAGAACAATTAAAAAAACAAAAACCTGCCATCTTAAAACAAAACCCTGTACCATTAAAGAGAAAAATTCCTATTCAAAAAGGATATCTTCTCCAATGAGTGTGGATTTTGTATAAAGAGCAGTTAATTTCCGAGAAAACAGTGAACTTTTATTGTCTCCAATGGCCTTTAATGCTGCAGTTTCAGTTTGCTTCACAACTCCCACCTTCAACAAAAGAAATACGGAATAGCAAATTATAAAAAATTATTTTTTAAAAATCATTTCAAAATGTTTAAAGGTTAATTCTGAAACACTTAAAATATTAATAAATAAACTACTCCACAATGTCCAGATGTAGTGTTTAAGTAATAGGCACAAGGAACTGACAAGTGTGGATAAATCACTAAGAAATACTCTACCACAGAATTGAAACACATTTTACCCTCAATATCTAACAATACATTAAAAACTCATAAAAACATAATGCTAATAATTATGAAACACTTTCATTTACCTAAAATGCCAAATTCTAAAACCAATTAAAGCCTACCTATCACTTTACAAAACATGTTTTCACTCTCTGGAAGAGAATTCCAATTTCCTTTTCCCATAAATTAAAGCCAAAGCTGACCTTGTATCCTTTTGCCACAAGGCGGCGTACATGAACAAACAGTCTGTGAGTAGGTATACTTGCTGTCATGAAGTTGTGGTCTAAATGGCAATAAATATTGAGCTCCCGGGCTGCAATCTAAAAATTAAAAGAAACTATCAATAAAAATTTCTATTTTAAGATTCTTTATGTGATATTTGTTCAATTTGTTAAAAATGTATTAAGGTATACGCTTAGGGTTTGTACACTTACCTAATTGTGTGGCATATCAATAAGTTTAAAAGACATTCCCTGCATAGAAGCCTACGGTTCTATTTTTGGCAGTTCCAACGGCCTAACTTCGGGGCCAACACGTGTATATATAAACAACTCAGAAAAATATAATGGGTCTTCTTCTATGTCCTTACAACTACGAAAAACATAAAGAACTGAACTTTCCCTACACAAAGACTATTCAAATACAGAGAGTATGAGACTGTAATGGAGTAAGAATTGGCTGCGTGGCACATGCAAATAACTTACAGACACCACAGAGTACACCTAAAAGATAAACCCACTACAAGAAGAGAACCCCCAGGTCTGGTTAGGTAATTAATGGTGCATAGAAATACAGAACAAATCAGCACCACCCAATTCCCTGTTTTTCTTCTGGAAAGCACATGGCTTAGATATTACCTGCTAGAGCCAAGGAATTCTCATTGGAATTCATATTCCCCTAACTCCATCCTATCTCAGAACTATATTAGTCCATCACCGAAGGGCAGGAAAACATCAGCCTTTACTGTGGTCAGGCCTGAATTTACCTTTTATCATAGACAGTTTTTTTCCCTTCCCTTATGGGATGCCAACTATGTGTTTGTTCCTGTCCTCAGGAAACATATAATTTCATAACACAGAACAAAGCATAATCCAACCAACTCAGAGAATACTACTTTCCTACCACAAGAGGATTTAGGAAAGTTGAAGAAATAAAGTTGGCCAAGGCTTTACTTCCTACCCATGAAGCAACAGATGTATTACCTCATCACTCTCTGATGCTATACAATCAACTAGGCCTAAAACTATGGAATCATCAGAATTGTCCATGACTTCCAACAAAGATGTCATCAGTAATACTATCCCAAAGTTTTCCCATTAAATGTTCAAATTCACTTTTTACCTTTACTGGGGCCTACATTAACTATCTCAAAATTAAATACAATCTCAACTTAGAATAAGACAGCAAGATGACTGATGGATACACAAAGAGACCTGTAAAAATTCAAACACAGGTAGCTGGCAGAATTAATGTGTTTTTCCACTGAGACTTAACTTCGTTCTTGGTTAGGAAAATTCATAAATTTTAAGGGTAAGCAGAGGAAATTCTACATATCTCAAAATTTGTTTCTTGCTTGAGTCTTCATTAGAAAACATTCTTATGTGATGATGGTTTATTCACTAATGGATTCATTCCAATAAACTTTTGATGGATAAAAAGTACTGGCCTAGCAGCGATGGAAAATAAGCTCTAACATTCCAATAGGGACCCACCACTTCTTCCCTACAAAGTCTGGTTTGAACCAAGTTTCTTGTGTTATTTTTAGTTTTTACTTTAAATGACAGCATTTTTAAAGAGTGATTGAACAAATTAGCTTTTATATAAGGTTACAAAATGAAATGAAAATACTGAAAAATATCTAAGGCTAGACAAGAACAACATGAAATAGTGTTTGAAAAAAACAACTTACCTCTGCATCTTCCCCAAAGAATCTATATTTATATCCACATTCCACACACAAAATTGCATCTTTATGCTGCTGCTTCATTTCTATGTATTGTAATTCTAATGGTGTATAGATGCTTTTGGACCGCTTGTTAGACGGTTTAGAATCAGAAGTTTTCTGTAAATTTTCATGACTGCTACGTGATGATCCAAATTGACTGACATCAGAAAGTGTCTTATCCTGGCAACCAAAAGATTTATACAGTTTAAAAAATATTAACCATAATAATAAGTTCCCAGAGAGAGAAAATGCATTTGGCAAAAAGCTAACACCTGGTGAATCTAGATGAAAAGTTTGTAGAAGTATACTATAGTATTCAGGCAAGTTATCTGTAGGTTAGAAATTTTCTGAAAATAAAAGGTTAAAAAAATTATGAACCAACAAAACTATCATATAATTAAGCAAATTTTGAAAGTGTAACATTTTAATGTTTTATATATTTCTTTTTAAATTTGATTTCACTGAATCTATTATCAACATTTCTTTTTATTATTTATTCTCAGGTATGTAATGCACAAAAGGCCAGTGGACATGAATCTAACACTCTCTCAGGAGTAGGTGGTCACAGAGTGGAGTCACTTGACTTAAGCAAGCATGCCAACAGATAATGTATTATATTTCCAAGCACACTCTAAAAAATAGTATATTCTAAAATCTTTATTCTAAGAAAGAGCCATGATTGTTTTGGTAAAGAAATATGAAAAAGAGCTTTTGGAAAACACATAGAACAAGGCTACATTTTCACTATTAGTATTCCTACTCTCCTTACCTTCCTGTGATGATAATCATAATTAACTCCAATTCACAGTTCAGGGCAAATTCCTTGCTTATTAGACTCAATTTTGAAAAAAATGAGACAAATTTATAGGATAAATCCAACTTCTAATTAATTGTCACTCTGTCACTAACAACTAAAAACTTACCCAATCACTTCTAGAATCAAAAATACAGACTAAAAGACAAGTGACAAGCAGGAAGAGAAGAGAAAGAAAGTGAACTGGCCCAGGAAGGGGAGACTCGGTCCAAAAAAAACCCAGAAACATGTACTTTGCAGTGCCCCAATGTTTACAAAATTCAGCTTAACTGGGACAGCAGGTTAAAGACGTTAGCTTTTCAAAAGAATTTATTTGAATAGTGTAGCCATGCAAATCTCCAAAAATCAGCAAAAAGATGGTAAGGAATGGAGAGGTGCAACAAGAGAAATGTAGGTCATTATACCAGATTTCAGAGACATTTGTTTTTAATTTTTATGGATTTTCTATGTTTTTTCCATGACTTTTGTATAAAATCTAGGAATACTGTTAAGGGTTAGGGTCAAGACATGAGAACCCCAGGAGGGGGACAGGACTTTGCCATACAGCAACCTGTGGACATATCAGTTCACTGAGCAAAAATCTGCTCAACCTTGAGGGGGACATACCACCTATCAAGGGTGTCTGCAAAGGGACCTCACCTTGAAGCCTGAGGGCCACAGCCTAGAGGTCTGCAAATGGACCAGGCTTGTAATGCCAAGGCAGAGAGAATGATCAAAGAGTAGTTTGCTATTCTAAGCTTGAGGCAATGTTCCTATCTCTCTCCTAAATTCATGTGTCAGTAAATGAGGAACTAGATAACATAGAAAGGAGTATGTGGTCTCTTTGTTCCCCTTTGGATTATAGGCTTTACTGCTAACACTGGATATTATCTGTAACTTGTGTATACTTAGCTAGTTTAATGTTACTTTGAGGGACCTTGAAACTTAAACTCATGATTTGTACATGTAAATTAGTGACTGATAATAATTGTTTGCTGAAACAATAAATGCTGATGCAGGATTCCACTTGTGGCCTCCTGGCTCAGGGGAATGCTGGAGGACACAGTTTCCTCATCACATTAATCTATAATTTGTCTCTGTCTCTTTCATTTCCAATCTCTTTCAACGTTCCTGCCTGGGACCTAATTTGCTGTGAGAGTCGTGAACTCCCAGCAGGATACTATGTACTGTAAAAGTTAATCAATATTTATAAAAATACAATTCCTACAAAAAAGTTATTCTTATTTCATACCTTATTCATTTATAAAATAAGACAGGTTTTCAGAAAAAAAAAGTTCTATTCATATTGGATACTAATAATTAAGTCAATCTGAATACTTGAATATTAACTTTTTAAAAACCAATTGGATGGAAATACTTCTCAGATATATTACATTCTCTTATAAACTCCCAGAAGCAGCATGCTGCACTCAATTCAACCTTGTCTTGACAATCCAGATTGAGCAGAATAAATTTCAAAGCCTACCCAGAGTTATGGTGCTCTTGGCCCTACCCTCATGGTCCTAACAAAATCACTTCTCTAATTCATTCGGTAACTTTTTTTTTGAGACAGAGTCTCGCTTTGTTGCCTAGGCTAGAGTGAGTGCTGTGGCGTCAGCCTAGCTCACAGCAACCTCAAACTCTGGTTAAGTATCCTTCTGCCTCAGCCTCCCAAGTAGCTGGGACTACAGGCATGTGCCACCATGCCCGGCTACTTTTTTCTATATATATTAGTTGGCCAATTAGTTTCTTTATATTTATTGTAGAGACGGGGTCTCGCTCTTGCTCAGGCTGGTTTCAAACTCCCACTCGAGCAATCCGCCCGCCTTGGCCTCCCAGAGAGCTAGGATTACAGGCGTGAGCCACCGCGCCCGGCCCATTCGGTAACTTTTTTACCATTCATCTGTGTCCTTCCATGCCATCAAACAGCTTATCACTTGTAATAATGCCCATGTATTGCTTCTAGGTGTCCCTTCTATTTGATTACTTCTAATTTTCTGTGATGCAGAAATGCCAAGTTGGGCATTTTATGTATAATATAAATGCCCTTCTGAGGCCCTAGAGAAAATGTTCCAATCAAAGTGAGCTTTAATAGATAGACTTCATGACTTCTAGACTTTACGACCACTACATTGAGGTGAATTGCTTCTAAGTATTAAAACAGATTAAGAACAAAAGCACACCTTTTTTTCCTGATGATATAAGTCAACCAATTAGCCTGGGTGAGGAGGAATTCATGGATTTGGACTTTGTGGGAAGAAGGAATGTGAACTTTTGAAAATTAAAGGCAAAATTTTATTAGCCCAAGCATTTTTCTGAGGAAAGAAGCCACAGTGTTTTTTAGAACTTCAATGACTCAAAAAATATATATAAATACACACACATATACATATATAAAACCATTTCTCTAATTCAATTGTTGCCAACCATTACTATACATTAAAATAAAATGATAACTTTAAAAAAATATCCACGCTTAATTATCCGTGAAGATCAATTAAATAAGATTCTGAAGGAAGGTTCTTATTGCCAGTTTTTGGTTTTTTTAAGTTCTCCAAATGATTCTAATTTTTCAAAGCTAAGGTTGAGAACCAACCAATGTTCTGAATTATAGATTTCGATGATGGAACAAAAGTTAAATTCCTTGATTTTGCAATGATTAAAACCATTAAAAGTCACACAAGAAGCAATGGAAGTACAAAGCCCATATCCATTTGGCTTACCTTTGAATTTACCTTTTATCTGCCAAGTCTTCCACTGAAAACCTCAAAACAGCTATATAAGTTGCTCATTGTGATTTTCCATGCTAATCATGGAAACTATAAGGAAAACTATAAGAAACAGTTCTTGCATTTATTACCAATAAAAAAATCCCCCTTAAGTCAATGGCTCCTAATCTAGGCAGGATAGTGGAATTCCCTGGAAGGCTTTTGTTTTGTTTTCTTTTGTTTTAATATAAACCAATTCATCCCTCCCTAAAACATAGTGAATCAGAATCTCCAGGGATTTGAACAACAAAACTAAACTAAAACACAAAAACAACCTCAGCTAATTCGGATGATCAGCAAAGTCTAGGAACAATTACCTTGAGTGATCCCACAGAACCTACCAATATTTCAGAACCTGCTATTCCAGATAATTGGATATTCATCTACATAGCAGTTACATACCTTTTGATTAATTTGAAACTTGGAATCTTCAGAAGAAACTGCATTCTTTGCACGTAGATGAGTGATATCATCAAAATCAGTACATTTTGGCAGAACTGCAAATCTCTCCTGAAGAGGTTCTGCCTGGACTCTATTTTGAGGAAGGGCAGAATCGCAGCAGAATTCTTTCAATTTTTCCAGAGACTTTAAAACACTCCTGGTTCTCAGACATTTCCTTGGCTCTTAGATAACAAATCAGAAGAAAATATAACAATAGTATTTTGGTCTCATTATGCCAATTCATAACTGGCATAGAATTTTTTAAAGAGGTAGATTCCCACTAAAGCAATGAATCTAACAATAATGTGATTTATAACAACAACAACAAAAAAGAACATTGGGGTCAGGGTGAAGGTGGCATGTTGAAAAATAGATCTAATTTTACTTGCTCCTGAAACCCCATTATTATGGTAGGATTTTGCTTCTTCTTTTTTGTTTTTTAATATATAAGCCCATAAAGGAAAGAGAGACTAGGAGAGGTGATAACTGCAAATGAAATACCTAAAGCTGGAAGGGGCCAGGCATGGTGGCTCACACCTGCAATCCTAGCACTCTGGAGGATAGGAGGCAGAAGGGTCACTTGAGGTCAGGAGTTTGAGATCAGCCTGAGCAAGAGTGAGACCCCATCTCTACTAAAAATAGAAAAAATTAGCTGGTGTGGCGGCACGTGACTATAGCTACCTAGGAGGCTTAGGTAGAAGGATCGCTTGAGCCCAAGAATTTGAGGTTGCTGTGAGCTAGGCTGATATACGGCACTCTAGCCAGGGAAACAGAGTAAGACTCTGTCTCAAAAGAAATAAAATAAAGCTTGAAGGAGAAACAGATGAGCAATACCCAATTCAAAACACCTGAAAGCTAAATCCTAAGTAAGTAATTAAGAAAACCAAGAACCATTCTTATTTTCAAGACAAAATGCTCAAAAGACTCAGGAATTAGGGCACCAGTAGCTCTGGAAATGGAGCAAAAGCAGGTTCTAAAAGAGGTTGGTTCAAAGCAATTTCATCTCAAGCTCCACCACACTCCAAGCTCAAAGGCAACTGTCCTTCCCCCACATAAGCAGCAGACTGGAGATTTCTTCTCTGAGAAGGCAAAACAGGCATAGTTGGTGGAGTACTGTACCTAAGCCAGGAGGATGATGGGAACACAGGCTTACTGTATACAGAAACCCCCAGCCTCTCCAGAACCCAGGCAGCCAGAGCACTTTCCTCCAGGCAGAAGCTGGGAACACTCTTGACCAACTCAAGGGGAAAAACCTAAATATACTAACATTAGGGATTCACCAAGAAAACCAAATCACCCTGCCCAGATAAACCTGCTTTCTGCCTCCATCACTTTGCCCATACTATGCTTTCCACATGTCAAAACTGTACTCTTCTTCAATACCCATCTCAAAGCTGCCTGTTCCATGAAACCCTCTGCTAATTCTCCCAGCCTAAAAATCAGTTTTTCCTTCTCTGTGTTCCTAAAACAAGATTACATCTCTCTGTAGCACTTATCACAGTCTGCCAATTAGTAGTTATTTATAGGCAAGCAATCCACAAAAGGGAAATTATCATTTTCTGGGTCTCTACCATGCACTAGAGTACATTACTTCACCCTTAGAGCAATACTATTAGGTGGCCAGTACTAAATATAAGGGAACTAGGACTACATGCATTTACCATTTCTTACCTTCCCTATTAAAGCAAAAACACTCAGAGCAAGAGTTGTGTCTTATTCATTTCTAAAAGTTTAAAATTTTCCATACTAACATTTAAACTTCTTTTCAGATGTATACTTTATCATGTCTCCTGTGACTCTCTTAGCTTGAAAAACATAAATTACCTTGTTCACCTTGTTTACTATTACTCTTCTCTTCTCTTACTATTACTCTTCTCTTCTCAAAATGTATACTTTAATCACTCTTCAAAAGTATATCTACAAGGGCCGGGCGCGGTGGCTCACGCCTGTAATCCTAGCACTCTGGGAGGCCGAGGCGGGCGGATTGCTCGAGGTCAGGAGTTCAAAACCAGCCTGAGCGAGACCCCGTCTCTACTAAAAATAGAAAGAAATTAATTGACCAACTAAAAGTATATATACAAAAAATTAGCCGGGCATGGTGGTGCATGCCTGTAGTCCCAGCTACTCGGGAGGCTGAGGCAGGAGGATCACTTGAGCCCAGGAGTTTGAGGTTGCTGTGAGCTAGGCTGACTCCACGGCACTCACTCTAGCCTGGGCAACAAAAGTGAGACTCTGTCTCAAAAAAAAAAAAAAAAAAAAGTATACTACAAGTAGGTATATTATACAAGGACTTCCTTCCTATGGATACAAAATAACTTTCCCAGGATGGTGGCAGAGTGAAAATCTGGGGTTGCACTTGTGAAAAAGAGTATTGTGAACACTGATCATATAAAGTGGGTCATTCTTGTAATATTCAACTAAAACAGAGTCAAGAGAGGCCAGGGTCAGGTAGGGGATGCAGAAGCACTCTGAACACAACACTGCTCGAAAATCTAATTCTCTGCAAGCCTGGCTACTGAAACTGTACCATTGTAACCTGAAACCAGTTTTATCTAACAGCTGCTAAGACTCTTAAAACTAGTTTTACCCACTGCAGTCACTCACCAGAGCTTGCCAGATCCCAAAACTTTATTAATGCCAATGACCTATCTTTCAAAACAATACATAACAATTTCTTTTTTATAAAACCTACTTTTACCACCTTCTTCTCTTTGTTCTAATACCCAAGACCGCCCAGTCTATGTGTATGCCCCAAATTGCAATTCTTGCTTCCCAAATAAAATGTTTTAAACTTAGAGATTCATCTCTGCATTTTATTTAACTTCAATACTATCTAAAACTGAAGTAATCAGAGACTCTTGTGGCTGGTAGATGCTGCTGGTTGAGTAATAAAAAATCAAACTTCATCATTTCCTAAAACTTTTACATTTTATGATTTCATTCTGAGAAATGCATCATTAGGCAATTTCATCATTGTGCAAACATCACAGAGTATACTCACAAAAACCTTGATGGTATGGCACACCTAAGCTACTACACACCTAAGCTATAGGAGCTATATAGGATACCCTATTGCTCCTAGGCTACAAACCTGTACAGCATGTTACTATACTGAATGTTGAAGGCAACTGTAACACAATACTAAATATTAGTATTTGTGCATCTGAACATATCTAAACATAGGAAAGGTATAGTAAATATACATATAATCTTATGAGACCAGTGTCATATATGTGATCCAATCATTGACTGAAATATCACTTCTGGCACACAACTGTATTTATGTTCTTAATGTTGTTAATGTCTACTGTCTCTATATGGTGGAAATACCCTGTAATGGTGTGCTACTGCTACTATGCATCCCCTCCCAACTCTAGAAAGATCAAGCCTTAAGAATAGAAAAAAACTAGCCCTAGAGTAAAGGCTACTATAGACCTTCTCTATTGAAGTTTAAAAACAATCCTTGAAAAGATCAAACTGATCCACAGGAATGTAACTATTTCCCAGAACAAAGTTTCACGTAATTTAACCACTTCCGTAGGGCACTCACCGGCTGCAAAACCTTGCCCACAGCCGGCACTCACAGTCCTCACGATAGTCTGTGCTGTGCACTGACAAAGAATCCGCTTTGCTCTTGTGTGATGAGGAAAGCTTTAAAGCACTGAAAGCTTGTTTTACTTTACAGGCAGCTTTACTGTAATGTAAACCAGAATAGGTAATATATACATATATGTTTTCATTATTTTTAAATGTTCACAATTTTATTTTGATAAATGAAAAATCAGAAAACTCATATCATAGCTGTCGGCTAAAGTCGACGCTCGGCTGTGCACCTTCGTATCATGGCTATCGGCTTAAGCTGCTGTGCGCGTTCATCTGTGGCTATTGACTATAGTCGAGGCTTGTACAGAAGTGGTTAAAGAAATACAAAATCTGGCAGGAGATAACACAAAATTCAACATATCTATGATTCAACCAATTAATTACTAGATATGCAAAAAGTAGGAAAAATCAGTCAAGGGATGCAGGCCCAGAAATGACAGCAATAATGGAATTAGCATATATGGACAAGAAAACACATTTTTAAATGTGCTCCATATAATCAATAATGTAAAGAAAAACATAAGCAAAAAGAGGATCGAAAGGAAGATTTTTTTTTTCTGTTAACAGCTTTACAAAGATAGCATTCACATAGAAAACTAAAAAAATGGAACTTCTAGAAATGAAATATATAATATCTTAAATGAACATTTTACTGAATGCGATTTATAGCAGAATAGACACTACAGGAGAAAAGATCACTGAACTTAAAAACATATTAGTAGAATCTATCCAAAATGAAGCACAAGGAAAAATAAGACTGGAAAACAAATAAAAAGAGCTTCAGTGATTTGAGGGGTAATATCAAGGAGTCTAACATCCCAGTCAGTAATAAACTCTCAGAATGAGGTAAGAGAGGATACAGAAAAAAATATTTGAGAAAAAATGACCAAAAAAGTTTTCCAAATTTGATAAGAACTATAAACCTACAGACACAAAAAGCTTTAAATGAGCTCCAACCAGAATAAAAATAAATAAATAAATAAAAAATTTAAAGATACAAACTAGACTAAGGTCCACCAAAATCAAAAGTGTGACGATCAATGATTAAGAGCAAATCTTAAGTGCAGCCAGAGAAAAAAGGCATATTAGGGAAGTCAACCCTCTATAATTAAAAAATACAAAGAAACAACAACAACAAAAAAATCTTGATGTCATATATGCTAAAGGCTAAGAATCTATGAAGGAATATTGTGACTCCCTTTCTTCTAAATATATGACTTTTCCAATATATATTTTACCTTTTTTATTATAATATCACTTATATAAAACACTAAAAAAAATTTTTTTGAATCTCTATTCCAATCCAGATTTCACATTATTCCCTTTATTTTCAAAATACATATTTAAATCACTTTTGTAATATAAGTTTGCTTGTGAATATAAAAAGTTTCCTTCCCCTATGGATCCCAGGTATAAAAAAATAACTTGTAAATTGAAGAGTTAAGAACTGAGGTGAATCTATACAATATTACCCAGGAATTAAAAGGAATGAATGTACTTTAGAGTAGTCAAAATGATAACGGCAGAAGGTAAAATGGTAGGTGCCAGGGTCTGGGGGGAGGGAGCAATATGGAGCTGCTGTTTAATGGGTACAGAGTTTCAAAATTGTAAATGATTTCTGGAGATGGATGGTAGTGATGGTTGCACAACAATATAAATGTACTAAATACCACTGAACTATACACTTAAAAACAGTTCAGATGGTAAATGTTATGGGTATTTTACCACAATAAAAAAATGAAATAAAAATTTTTTAAAAAAGGAATTAAGTGCTAATATATGCTACATGACTCCATTTATAAGAAATATCCAGAATAGGCAAATCCATAGATAGAAAGGAGATTAGTAGTTGCCAGGGGATGGGAAGTGCTGGGGGAAATGAGGGATGGCTGCTAATGAGTACACGGTTTCTTTTTTGAGGTGATGAAAATGTTCTAAAGTTGATTTTGATGATGGTTGTACAACTCTGGGAATATACTAAAAGCCATTGAATTGTACATGCTAAATGGGAGAACTGTCTGGTATGAGAACTGTATCTTAATAATTGCTATTTTTTTAAAAAACTGAGGTGTAGTAGTCACCCAGCTTCCAACTAGTGGGTGCTTCTCTCCCTTCTTCCTGAATGCCACCTGTAATACGATTTGAAAACATTTCAAGTCTGTTCTCTTATTTCCACAACTTTAAATCTGCACTGTCCTGTGTGGCCTTGATTAAGTTACTTAACCGTGGTAACTCTTTATTTTTTTTTGAGACAGAGTCTCACTTGCTGCCCAGGCTAGAGTGAGTGCCATGGCATCCCCAGCCTAGCTCACAGCAACCTCAAACTCCTGGGCTCAAGCAATCCTGCTGCCTCAGCCTCCCAAGTAGCTGGGACTGCAGGCATGTGCCACCATGCCCAGCTAATTTTTTCTATATATATTAGGAGGCCAATTAATTTCTTTCTATTTATAGTAGAAAGGGGGTCTCCCTCTTGCTCACGCTGGTTTTGAACTCCTGACCTTGAGCAATCCGCCCGCTTTGGCCTCCCAGAGTGATAGGATTACAGGCATGAGCCACCATGCCCGGCCTGTGGTAACTCTTAATGCTCTTCTCTTCATGTATCACTCATCTCTTCTTCTATACAAGGAGGACAACAAGGGTTCTTGGGAAGAACAAATGAACTACAAAAAGTTCTAGGATAATGACAGGGTTTTCAAAATAGTGGGTGCTCATTCACTGCCTGGAGAATTTAAGAATATCAGAGCAATGACTGGTGAGAAGGAAGAATCACTGCCCAGAACTCACCAGGTTTGCCAGACATTACCAAATCACTTCCTCCTTCCTTTACTTGGACTTTCTTTGCTTTCTTTTTAACAGGCCCATCATTTTCCAGTGGTCTCTTTTTACTTCTGTCAATTTCTGCAGCCTGTATCAGAAGGTTGAAAACATGGCTGTGTTATCTCTTTTCTGAGAAGGCTTGATGTATGTTAAATAATTTAAACCTTACATCTAAATGACAGCAAGTTCCTTGCCATACACCCTTCACAGACTCATCTACTTTTAGCTCTGGAAAGGCCTAAGGCTGAATTGTTATACCATCATCAAAGAGAAAATGGAGACTCTGATGATTGGAGGTAACAGCCTCAGTACTTCAAGCCGTTTAGAACTAATTAAAAACAAGTTTGTTGCCTTTTTTACTCAGCCTTCAGCTATCTCAAATATAAAACTTGAATAACCCTACTTACATATGATAAATAAAATACTAGATTAAAACTATATCTACTTAGCAAAGGCACACTTGAAAAGACAGATAATAATAACATTACCATTTTCAAAATGTTACTGTATATTATTGTAAATTTAATTGTTAATTGTCGCACTAAGATGCGACAAGATTATGAGCTTTTTGTTGGCAGGAAACCTGCCAAAAAACTTACTTAAGTCCTTCACCAAATACCTCTAAATGATGGGTGTAAATATATTGGTGAATTCATGGAAATGTAGTCATGATTGAGGGCGGTTGTACGGGTCTGTAGTGCCACTCGGGAGGCTGAGGCAGGAGAATCGCTTCAACCCAGGAGTTTGAGGTTGCAGGTGATGACACCACTGGACTCGACCCACGGCGAGTCCAGTGTGAGACAGAATGAGACTGTCTCAAAAAAACAAAAAACAAAATGTGAACTAAAATGAAATTTTAAGGTTCACCCCTCCCCCCACCAGCTGACTGAATGGACTCCCACATGGCCAAAGAAATATCCTAAAACTAAATTGTCTGCCAGGAGGAGGGAAGTCAGACATGCCTCATCATGCGCTCCCACCTTCTTGGAGATATCCTTTGTAACCCATTAACAGGCCTAAGGGTATGCTAGACAATCCAGCAGGGCCACAATTTACACAACAAATCTATGCCCCCTGGCTTACCTCAGTAACAGCTCCTTATGTTAAAACACTCCAAGCCTTTAGACAAAGCTTCAGGTCTTTAACCGATTATAAGCCAAAGAATCTTTAAACCCACCTATAACCTATAAGCACCAGCTTCCAGATGTCTCCTTTTTGCACCAAACCAATGTATGCCTCCCGCGTACTGCTTTATGACTTTACCTGTAACCCCTGTCTCCCTAAGTATAAAATCAAACTGTAACCCAGCCACATCGAGTCCACTTGCTTAAGGCCTCTTGGGAGTGGCTCCTGGTCATGGTTCTCAAATTTGGCTCAGAATAAATCTCTTTAAAATTATTTTCCAGAGTTTGGCTTTTTTCCGTTGACAAAAGTAAAACTCTTCAACCATCAATCCAGGGAAAAGAGGGACGATGGAGGTTAAAAGATGCATCCCTTGCCCACAGTTTCCCTCCTCTCAACAGAATGGGAGTCTGAAGACCAGAATCCCCTCCTCAGGCCAGCCAGAAAAAACCCGTGTGACCTTGGCTTCAAGTCTATTACCACATAGGTAATAAAACCTTTGACCCACATGTGGTGTATAGACCAGTTGGGCATCTCCCACTCTCTCCTTCCCCAGCCCCGCCCATCTCTCTTCCAGCCCCATCATCCCGCGGTTTCTCCGCAAAGGGCCCGTATCCTCTCTCCACACACAAACACAAGCCCAGCCCCGCCCCTTTCCCCGCCCCCTTTCTCCGAGGGCCCCGCCCCGACCTGGACACAACCCACCACGTGCGGCAGCAACTGGGGCGGGAAAGTGGACGCTGGGGGCGCTGCGGCGTCAGAGTCCGCCTTGTCGGCTGCACCCGTAGGGGAGGAAGTGGATTTCAGGCTTCCCGTAGACTGGAAAAATCTGCTCAAAACTGCTTGCCCTGCAGGGGCTGGGCCGGGGGCAGCGAGGCCGCCGGACGCAGGCTTCGGGCGAGACATTGCAGGGCAGGGAGTGGCAGCCCCGGGCAGGGCACAACTGGGAGCGCGAGCCCGCGGCCGCAGTTCCCCGGCGTCTGCGGGCGCGAGCACGCCGCGACCCTGCCGTGCGCCGGGGCGGGGGGCGGGGCCTCGGCTGCACAAATGGGGCCGAGGGGGCGTGGCGGCCGCAGTTTCGCGCCAATCTCGGTCGGGCTTCTGAGAGGCGCGAGTGAGCTGGGTGGTTTTTGCTGGTGCCACCATGGTTCGTACGCTGAACTGCATCGTCGCTGTGTCCCAGAACATGGGCATTGGCAAGAACGGGGACCTGCCCTGGCCCCCACTCAGGTAGCTTCCGGGCCGGTGGAGGGCGGAGGCTGGCGCAGGCCCCCCTTGACCGGGGCACCTGGGCCGGGGTGCACCGGGGCCGACTCGCTGCGGGAGGAGGGGGTGGGACCTGCCACCTGAGCGACTGGAGTGGGTGGGCGCCTGCTGGCCAAGCTGCTGATTTGGGTCCGGATCCTGCTGACGCGCGAGGCCTTTGCCCCTGGGCGCCCTGTACTAGAGCAAAGTCCGGGCGCTGGAGGAACACCCCCGCCCCAACCCCCAGGGCACCGTTAGTCCTGCGCATTAGAGCTCGAGCCCACGAATAATGTTCTGAGTAACGCTGTGTTTCTCTAACTTGTAGGAATGAATTCAGGTATTTCCAGAAAATGACCACCACCTCTTCAGTAGAAGGTAATGTGGAATTTTTGAGTAATTGAGGTACGCGAAGGGTCTTGTTTGACTGAGGAAGCCTACCAATGCAAATGTTAATAAAATGGAAAGTGTTTCATGTTAATGGAACTTTTCTCTTACTGTTGATCTGTATGCAGTTCTCAAGGTTCATTAACCATTTTTTTTTTAAATATCTCTTTGCATCCTTATTTAGCGCAGGCACACAATTTAGGTATTGGGCTAAATTGGCAATTTGGTAGAGGCTTCAGTGGAGGTTAGCGCTCCCAAAGGAGACCAGAAGAGGCCTTTAGAACAGCTGCTGGAAGAGATAAGTAAGGCCTGAACGAGAGCAGTGGAGAAGAGAGGATGAACATTTTTAAAAAGATTACTTGATACTCGATTTTAGAACACCTGGAATTTAAAAGTGATGCGCAAAAACATCCAGGATGAACTCTCTGATTTTCTGTTTGAGAGTTTGGATGACGTAGAGAATAAAAGAGTAGAGAACAGTGTGCAATTGTAATGACAGGGCACCTGTAGGACATCAAGGAAAATTCCAAGCACGGGGAACTAGGTGAATTGAACCATTGGAGAGAAGGAGATAACCAAGGAAAAGAATATGGGGGGGAAGGATACCCCAATTAAAATCTCAGATATGTGTATTTATGGTCACAAGAGGTGGAATGGCAGAGAAAACGGAAACAGAAAGGAGCAAATGATACATAAATTTAATGAGACAGATACAAGACCGTTGTATTTGGTACTTAGGTCACTGGCAGAGAATTTGGTGATTCTAATTACATAATTAGAATGGATTAAAACTAAATATTAGATATAAATTGGATAAAGCCCAAGGGAAAAATACTTATATTTAGGTGATGAGTGATAAATGTGAATTTTGGTAAAAATGTCATAAGTTTTAATTTTTTTAAAGGAGATCCACTAGTTGCCAAAATGACAATCATATCTATGCACATATATACAGTAAGTGTTCACTTAAACTCATGGATAGGTTCTTGGAAACTGTGACTTTAAGTGAAGTAATGTATGAATATAATGAAACCATTTTACCATAGGCTAATTGATATAAAGAGTTAAGCTTCTGTGGCATATTTCTTGTCACAAAAAAATCACCAAACTTCTAATATTAAATATTGAAATAAATGCGAGCTATATATACATGTAAGAAAGATTAATAAAAAACAGTAAGATAATTATTTACCGGCTTATTCTATTTCAGGGTTGTGGGTAGCCAGAACGGCAGTTCAGGGTACACTCACACACACCTACCCACACACTCAGACAGGGTCAGTTTAACATTCTAATTTACCTGACGTGCTCATCTTTGGGAAGTGAAAGGAAACCAGGGTACCTGGAGAAAACCCACATAAACATGGGGACAATGTGCAAACTCCACACAGACAGTGGTCCAAGCCAGGAATCAATTATTTTTCTCATCAACGTTATAACAAAACCATGTTGAGTGAAACAATGTTATTTGAAGACCTGCTATATATTAACATATGAAAAAATATATATAGCCTCAAAATATCCTTTCTATATAATTTTATAGGCAAACAGAATCTGGTGATTATGGGCAGGAAGACCTGGTTCTCCATTCCCGAGAAGAGTCGACCTTTAAAGGACAGAATTAATGTAGTTCTTAGTAGAGAACTCAAGTAAGTATTGTAACATAATTTTTTTATAGTTTCACATAAAATCAAAATACCTGTTTCAGGACTTGCTAAAATTAAGTAACAATCCCCTCTGGATCCAGCCCTAAATGTAATAAGACATGAATTTTATTATGAGTTAAAACAGGTCATGATCTTATGCCTAGTTAGCTACAATACCCAAGTAATACTTTATACTTCTGTTTGTTACCCAGTGTCTGAAGGTAACAAATTTCAAAGTATTGAAATGGTCCTAGAGATCCTGGGAAGGAGGGGGTGTTTCCAGTTGGCCTGTGCTACGAATTTTCCTGCCCTCCCATCTAACATTGCAGTAGATAGTTGCTGATGCCTGGAAATGCCCAGGGGGCTGGGAGGTGGAAGGATAATCACATTAACACTGCCTAAGAAGTCAATTTCAGTGTTTTGACATTTACCATGGCTTCCATGTGTGATATATTCTGATTTCTATTTTGTTTATTTTTGTTGTTGATGACATTGGTCCTAACCACTAAAACAACTTCCTGGACTTAGGAGATTTTTCTTTTAGGGGGAGGGCTTTGATCAAAATTGGACCCAAAGGAAAGTTTGGGGCTGGCATGTTAATCACACTTTCTTAAATTAATAATGTAATCACCAAAAAAAAAAAAAAAACATGCAGTGTCCTGGGACACTACTTGCCTGAGAACAGTGTTTGTAATATTCCTTTCCTATGTGTGCATATTAATCAGGGTTCCACCAGAGAAGCAAACCTAGTAAAAGATATTTATATTATATATGTATGTATATATATTATTAAAGAGTTTTATTGTAGGGAATTAGCCTGTGCAATTGCAGAGACTGGCTAGGTGAGTCCAAATATCTATAGGGTAGGCCATCAAGAAGGGCAGGCTGGAACTCTTCAGCGAGGGCTAAAGCTACACAAGGGAAATTTTTTCTTCAGAAAACCCTCAACTCAGCTCTTAAGGCCTTTCAACTGATTGAATCAGGCTCACCCAGATTAAAGTCAATGAATTGTAGATGTGATCACATCTACAAAATACTCTTGCAGCAACACCTAGATTAGTGTCTGAATAAGGGATCTGGGAAGATGGGGACTGTAGCCTAGCCAGGTTAACACCATGGGAAAGAAAAAACATTACACAGCTTATCTGCTAAGGGGATTCAGGCTTACATAGATTTTCTCCCAAATTCCTCCTGGAATGGCATAGGTAAAAACCTAGAAGAAAGTGCATCCGAATATTTGCATTGATTGCCTCTGGGTGATGGGGAATATGTGATGTGCATCTTGCCATCTGCTTCCATCTTCATGCTGTTCTTTCTCCTGGTTGCTAGGATATTCTGATTTTCTTCTTCCTTGGTAGAATTGAGATTCACAGACTATATTGCCATTCCCAGATACTCTTTAATAACATTTTTGAATACTACTCAAGTTTATTTATGGCTAGCTTTGAGCTAAAACAAACATAAAGAAATCTCAGTGGGGGAGTTGTTCAGTTGAGCCAGCATTTCTCCTCAAATGGTGAGTCTAATTTCTTCATTATGACCGCCCCTGCGGTGTATGTAATTGGATTTGGTTACTTATATTTATATATAAAATGTGTTGCTCTAATTCACTTTTTTTTTTTAAGCTGAGAAAACTTAAAGTCTTTATTATCAAGCATGCCAGGGAAGTAGTGGCACCAGTTATTAAAAATTATCAGAGTTCATTTTTTTGTCCTTCCCTACTTGCTGGTCAGTGCTACACATATATTGAGCACAGTATATATTATGAATATACTACAAATTACTGAGTCATACACTCAAAAGGGTGAATTGTATGATGTGTGATTTATATCTCTGTAAAGTGATCTCTTTAAAGTCTTTGGAACCAAAAGCTAAAGTTGTTTTATTGCCATGCTGTAGTCTTGACACCATCTTTAGAAAATCCCTATTTGTTTCCATATGACACATTATAGTCTCCATCCAATCCATGAAAGTTAACTAAATTGCATGGTGTAATAATTTTTGTGATCTCACTATCATATTCTCCACAGTGATTAATACCTTCTCTTCTTCCTCACCACTCACACACTTGGTATAGCAAACACTGACTGACCTGGCTTCTTATATGTGCTATGGCATCTAGTAACTTTGCGGCATTTGGCAGGTTACAAATAAGTCTTGCTGTGAACCTCAATTTCCTTACCTACTAAATGGAATTAATAATAACACTTTTGAAGATTCACTGCAATTTTGTATATAAAGTTTCTTGCACACAGAAGGGTACAAATATCAGCTCTGCCTCCAGCTTATAGAAAATATTAACATTCATAAGATCACACTGAACAGACTGATCTCATTTCACCTTAACATATCAATTTATTCTTGCAGTCTTGAGACAGAAATCTCCTCCTACCTAAATCAACTCTCTCCTCTCCCCCTGTATTCTACATTGTGGTTTTTTTCCCCATCTTTGGCACCTTGTTCCTTTGTCCCAGTATTTTAAAGCTCACCGCAGGTTACTTTTCTTCTTCCTTCAACTTTCTCAGAGCTTTCTTGTGGTAAAATAACTAGTATAACCTTCAGCAATTCTATAGCAGTGTGTCGTGTCTGTGCTTGTGCTAAAATCATGCCATGAGGAGTTCTTTCATCAACCTACCCTTCTATTCTCCTATAGCATCCTCTGCACATTGTATGTCTTTTCATGCTTTGTGGCCACTGCTGAGATATTTCTCTGCCATCATGATTTTGGGTGGGTACAGGGACTATATATCTATTCATCAAAGTAAAGATAGTCACACAAATATTTGGTTTCCCAGTACATATAAAAATTTACGTTAATACTGTAGTCTGTTAGGTGTGCAATAGCATTTTGTCTAAAAAAAAAATACTGCATACCTTAGTGAAAAAATACTTTATTGCCTAAAAAAATGTTAGCAGTCATCTGAGTCTTCAGGGTTTCATAATCTTTTGGCTGGTGGGGGATCTTGCCTCAGTGTTGATGGTTGCTGATTGATCAAGTTAGTGGTTGCTGAAATTTGGCAATTTCTTTAAATAAGACAACAATGAAGTTTGCTGAATCAATTAACTCTTCCTTTCACCAAAGATGTCTGCGTAGCATGTGATGCTATTTAATAGCTTTTTACCAACAATACAATTTCTTTCAAATTGAGTCAGTTGTCTCAAACTGTGGCTCTGCTTTATCAAGTTTATGTGATATTCTAAATCTTTGGTTGTCATTTCAACAACAACCATAGCATCTTCAAGAGGAGTAGGTTCCACCTCCAAAACACCACTTTCTTTGCTCATCCATAAGCAGCAGTTTCTCATCCCTTAAAATTTTATCATGAGATTGCAGTAACTCAGTCACATCTTCAGTCTCCACTTCTAATTCTAGTTCTCTTGCTATTTCCACCACATCTTCAGTTACCTCCTCCACAGAAGTTTTGAATAGCTCAAAGTCACCCGTGAGAAACTTATTCCAAACTCCTGTTTTGATATTTTGACCTCCCATGAAACATGAGTGTTTTTTTATTTGTACTAATTTATGGTGTATATGGGAAATTTTGCTGTATGTATATAATGCATTGTGATTGAGTCAGGGCATTTAATGTATCCATCACCCAAGTACAATACATTTTTGTTAAGTATAGTCACCCTACTCTGCTAGCAAACATTGGATTTATTCCTTCTGACTGTATGTTTGTATCTTTTATTCCATATCTCCTCATCCTCCCCACTTCTACTTAATCTTCCGAGTGTCAGTCTCTGTTACCTATTTTTGCACTCTACCTCCATGTGATCAAATTTTTTAGCTCCCACATGGACATGTGAACATGAAATATTAGTTTTGTGCCTGGCTTCTTTCACTTAAGATAATAATTTCCAATTCCATCCATGTTGCTGTAAATGCAGGATTTCATTGTTTTCTTGGCTGAATAGTATTCCACCATGTATATTTTTTTTCCTGCATATTATAGGAGTACAAATGTTTAGGTTACGTATGTTGCCCTTGCCCCCTCTCCCCTAGTCAGAGCATCAAGCGTGTCCATCCCCCAGATGGTGCTCATTGCCCTCATTACGTATGTATGTAACCATCCCCTTCTCCCCCCTCCCATCTGCCCAATGTCCGATAAATTTTATTCCTATATGTGCACTTAGGTGTTGATCAGTAAAACCATTTTGCTAGTGAGTACATGTGCATTTTTAGGATACTTAGTAGAATGGGTTCCAGCTCCATCCAGGAAAATACAAGAGGTGCTATATCACCATTGTTTCTTATAGCTGACTACTGCATGGTATACATATACCACATTTTATTAATCCACTTATGTACTGATGGGTACTTGGGTTGTTTCCACCACTGTGTGTATTTACCACGTTTTCTTTATGAAATCATCCATTGATGAACACTCAGGTTGATTCCATATCTTTGCTATTGTGAATGGTTCAGCATTAAATATGGGATTGCAGGTATCCCTTCAATGCTGATTTCTTTTCCTTTGGGTAAATACCCAGTAGTAGGATTGCTAGATCAAATGTTAATTCTATGTCATCCTTTGAGAAATGTCTATTTATGTCCTTTGTCCACTTTTTTTTTTTTTTTAGCGCATTATGGGGGTACAAGTGTTAAGGTTAGGGTAGCAATAGCAGTGGCAGGCCAATTATCTGGGTCCCAAGTGGTGTACGTTAATGTTGACATTGCCTGAGATGGGGTGGGTGGGCCATTCTCCAGATCCACAGGTGGTGCTTGCAGGTTGGTTCCAGCTGAGGTGGTAGCAGCCGGGAGTTTAGTCCCAACATCAGCCCCCTGGGTGGAGTGCTTAGGTGCCCAGCGTGCTAGATTAGATTGAACAATCCCCAGGATCTTGGGCTGTGTGCTCCATCTCAGGAGTGAGGGGTGAAGCTGTACTGGATAGGCTTGTGCTCAAGCCTCCCAATTGTGAGAGCAGGCCCCAGCCATGGTGGATAGACCAAGGCAGAGTACTTGGATGAGGGGTGGTAGCAGCCACACTGAGGCCTTGCCACTGTAGAGTGTGGGGGCGTCCTGCATGGCCACAGCCTGGGCCAGCAGGTAGAGAATGCACATCCTTCTCACACCCCAATCTCAGCAGCACTAGGTCACACCTAGCTCAAGGTCTCACTCTGTCTCTGTCACCCAGGCTAGAGTACAGTGACATCGTCATAGTTCCTGCAGCTGTAAACTCCTGGATTCAAGTGATCCTCCTACCTCACTCAGCCTTCCAAGGAGTTGGGACTGTAGGCACAGACCACCATACCCAGCTAGTTTTTTTTCTATGTTTTGTAGAGATTGGGGGGGGGGTCCTCACTCTTGCTGAGGCTGGTTTTGAACTCCTGACCTCAAGCCATCCTCCTGCCTCTGTCTCCCAAAATGCTAGGATTATAGGAGTGAGCCACTGTGTCCAACCTATTTACTATACTAATTTCTAGGATTTGTGCTGTGAAGGAGCTGATGAACTCAAACGTTAGCTCAAATTTTTGCTCGTTCTTTTTTACTCATCTCGAGGTTCAGTGTTTCCTATGAAACTTATTTCTAAACTACTAAATAACATTCTGCAGAAGCATTTCCTCCATGCCATTGTTTGCTATAACTTAAATCTGAAACAAATCTTTAACCTTTTCTTTGTTTTCTTTTCCAGACTCAATACAAAAGGGCAATGAAGTAGTCTTCACCTAATCCCTGAGCCATTTTCAAGACACTGTCCTCACATGTCAGTTCCTAAATCACCATTTTCCATTCTATTCTGTCTCCTGTCCTCAATTCTGACTTGAACGGCCACAATTGCTAAAACTGCCATAAGTCTGTTTTGGTCATTGTAGACTTTGTTAACTAGACTGTCTTTTCCCCCAACTCCAAATCTTTGTATCTTCTAGATTCAATTCTCTCCAAGAACAGCCCGGTCCAACCTGCAACTGCCTTGATACCTTGGCTTGTTTAACTTCTCCCTGGCCTCCATGTCTTTTTCCAGCCTGAAACAAAGTATATTCTTTGCTCTAGCCTAACACTTCTAAAAATTACAAAGAGTGAAATAAGTATATAAAAGAAGGAGAAGGAGGAACCAAGAGAATGAATAGTCTACATTAGTTCTTGATTAATCATTGTTATAACTACTGATTTAAAGGCAATTATATAATCTTTTTAAAGCACCAGACTAAGAACTTGACATTGAATTATAATTTCTGTTCTACATGTAATTACTATGAAAGCCTAGTTCTTACATGAAGGGAAGAGCACCCCGCTCCCCCCTCCCAAAAAAAACCCCACCAGTTTTGGAGTTTTGGAGAGATTGAGCTAGTCAATGTAAACATTGAAATAATTTTTTCCCTTTTGGATTTTTAATTACATAACTAATAACAGCTCATTTTTTAATATTTCACCCATTTCTGGATTGCTTGAAATGTAAAAATCCTTTTCCCACTTCCAAAGGTAACTACGTATTAACGCTCTGAGTATCATTCCAAACTTTTCTGCAGTCATTCAAACATTTTTTTCTAATATTTTATCGTGAAAATTTTCAAACATACAGAAAAAACTTGACAGTGAACAGTTGTATACCCACCACCTAGATTCTACCAGTAAGATTTTACTGTGCTGGCTTCATCACATATCCAGCCAGCCATCTTGTTTGTTTTTGCATTTCAAAATAAATTGCAGATGTTAGTATACTTTCCCCCTAATACTTCACCATTCATATCATTAACTAGAATTCAGTGTTTCTTTACAGCTGTTTCTTTTGAAGCAAATATGACATAATGAGATGCACAAGTCATAAGTGTACATTTAGTAAGTTTTCACAAATACACACACCTGTGTGACCCAAGCCCTGTTAAAGATACAGAATATTGCCTTTACACCCAGAAACTTCCCTCATGCTCTGTCCCAGGTAATCTTTATCCCACCCCTCCAGAGACAACTACTGTTCTCTCTTCCACCAGAGATACCATGAGGTATCATATATGGTTTTTTGATTCATTGTGAACCATATCCACAAATGTAAGTTGAATTACTGGTCATTAGCCAAACTGATGTTAACTGCTTTTTGTTTAAAGGATTCATATTTATGATGATTTTAGTTTTTTAATCACTGTTTTCTATCCAGATTATTTGAATGATATCGATGGGTTTTACAAAAACGTTTTTTTTTTGTTTTTTTTTGTTTTTTAACCTCAGGGAACCTCCACAAGGAGCTCATTTTGTTGCTAAAAGTCTGGATGATGCCTTAAAACTTATTGAACAACCAGAATTAGCAAATAAAGTAGACATGGTTTGGATAGTGGGAGGCAGTGCTGTTTATAAGGTAAGTAAAATTACTTGTAAATGTAAAGAAATGTTCTATCCTACTTTGTTTCAGCTTCCCTGCCATTTAAAAGGGGATAGAGGAGACAGGACATAACCCATTGTCTGAACCTTAAAAAAATTAAGCCATGAGCATAGCAAACAGCCCATTATCCATATTATAAATCAGACATGTTGTCAATTTAAATTATTCATTGTTTGATACTATCATACAAACTAAGTAAAAATACAAAAGTAAATGTCTTACTCTGTGCCAGTCTATTTTTTATTTATCTTTTTAATTGACAATTGTGTATATTTGTTGTATACAACATGTTTTGAAATGTATGCATTGTAGAATGGCTAAATCAAGCTAATTAAGTTTGCATTACCTCACTTATTCTTTGTGGTAATAACAATTAAAATCTACTCTCAGCAATTTTTCAAGAATACAATACATTGTTATTAACTATAGTCACCGTGTTGTATAATAGATAGATGAACTTATCCTAACAAATTTCATATCCTTTGACTAACATCTCCCCATATACTAGTCAATTTTCAAATCAAATAGTTGATATTTCCAATTTGAAATCCATTCTCAATCCTTCTCTGAGGATGGTACTTGCACTGTACTATTTACTGCTCTCTGGATTTACTCTAGATACACTGAGTTATGCTGCTTCTTCCAGGGTAAATAAATCTCTTACTGAGGAAGGGAGTGGGTTCTCAACTGATGGACACTAGCTAGATGTATATGAATTTGTTAAAAGCAGAAAACTTTTTGTCATTTTCATATAATGTAAGGGCATAGGGCAGGGGTCCTCAAACTTTTCAAACAGGCGGCCAGTTCACTGTCCCTCAGACCATTGGAGGGCCAGACTGTAGTTTAAAAAACACTATGAACAAATTCCTATGCACACCACACATCTTATTTTGAAATAAAAAAACAAATGGGCAAAAACATCCACATGTGGCCCGCAAGCCATGGTTTGAGGATGCTTGGCATAGGGGAAGGATTCATAATTTTGAAACATAAGGAAAAACTGTATGTAAAAGAGAACTTTTTTTTAATACCAAATGACTTCCAGCTTTAAAATATTTTGAGGATAATAAATAGAATTCTTTGATTGTTTTAAAACATTAATGAAAGATTAGCATTTATGAAAAGGAAGAAAAATCAATTTCTACCCTTTGAGACTTGTAACATAGGCACTTGGTGACATAGGCATTAAAATTATTTTAGAAAGAAGAGATATGCCAGGATCCTAGATGGGATTATAAAAACTGTTTCTTAGCTTACTGTCTCTACAACCTCTTATTTTCCCCATTTGTAATAGGGGAAATGGACATTTTTCTTTGATCTTTCATCCAAATATGAATTTCTTCTAAGAAAACAAGTTACTTCTTTATTTAGTTCAATACCGATCACATTTTGGATGATTCAATACCATATTTTGAACAATGTATGTACTTAAGTGTGTTTATATAATTTGGTAAATCTGTATATAGATAAATGCTAAGGAAGTAGAACCTTCAAGTGATATATTTACAGCTTGTAGATCATTCAGACATATCTTCCTATGCACCAAATTAGGTGTACCAACCTATTTTTCTAAGTGAAGTTTCATTGGAACATAGCCACACCCATTTGTTAGTATTGTCTATGGCTGCTTTTGGCCCTTAAAGCCTAAAATATTTACCATCTGGCCCTTTTGAGAAAGTTTACCTTGTTATCATTAACATTGATATAATATAAAACTTCAAATTCTGTATAGGTAGTCCTGCAGTAGTCCCCCATTTCCTTGGGGGATACATTTCACAACTCCTAGTGGATGCTTGAAACTGTGGTTTCAAGTACTGAACCCTATATATGTATGTATAATGCTAGTACTGAACCCTATATATGTATGTATAATTTGTTATAGACATACATAGCTATGATAAAGTTTTATTTTTGAATTAGGCACAGTAAGAGATTAACAACAATAATAAAAGAGAACAATTATAGCCATATGACAGCATCTGTACTCTTGCACTTTAGGGCCATTGTTAAGCAAAATAAGACTCCTTGAACCACAGGCATTGCGTTACTGCCACAGTCATTAACCCAGATGGCTCCTAAGTGACCAGGGGGGCAAGTAGCATAGACATTGTGAATACTCTGGACAAAAACATGATTAACGTCCTACATAGGATCAAGGAGGATGGCAACAGATTTCATCACACTACTCGGGACAGTGTGCAATTCAGGACAGCGTGCAATTTAAGTCTTATGAATTGTTTATTGCTAGAATTTTCCATTTAACATTTTCAGACTATAATTGACTGCAGGTAACTAAAACTGTGGAAAGTTAAACTGCAGATAACAGGGGACTGCTTTATTTAGTTTTTCTAATTTTTAGTACAGTAAGAATTGGTAGAATATTTGAGAATTTTAAGACATTAATTCCAGGGCAGTTTTTTCTATAGAAACTATCAACAGTACTATAGGCAGTAATTACTAAAGTCATTTACAATATACGGCCAAATACAATTGTTACCAACAAGAGGCAGAATAAATTACCTTCCTACTAGCATTGTAATTATCTCCTGAGAAATAGAAACATTATTAAATTTTGTGTATGTGTACTAAATATGTCCTTTGGGTTTTCAGTTGTTAGGTGAAATTATACTGTCTTATAGATTTTTCTGTGGGGAACAACTAGATAATTTGGAGTTCTTGGCCAGGCAAGGTGGCTCTCTCCTGTAATCCTAGTACTCTGGGAGGCCAAGGTGGGAGAATCGCTTGAGCTCGGGAATTCGAGACCAGGCTGAGCAAGAGCAAGACTCCATCACCACCAAAAAGTAGGCAGGCATGGTGGTAAGAGGCTATGGTCCCAGCTACTTGGAGGTTAAGGTAGGAGGATTGCTTGAGCCCAGGTGTTGAAGGTTGCAGTGAGCTATAATGATGCCACTGCACTCTACCTGGGACAACAAAGTGAGACTATCTCAAAAAATAAATTAATTAGATAATTTAGGATTCTTAACTTTTAAAACAACAGCCAAAAGAAAACAACAAAACTGAATGCTTAAATTTCTTACAAGCAAACTAGAGTTCTTACAAGTAAACTAGAGGTCATAATACATTTAAACTCAGTCTCATAATTATTTGCAATGATTAGTACCATTCACAATATAACTAAGGCATACTTTGCAGGGCCCCATACTAAAGAACAGGATATTTAAATGGTATGCTTTAGGCCAGGTGCAGTGGCTCATACCTGTAATCCTAGCACTCTGGGAGGCTGAGGTGGGCGGATCATTTGAGCTCAGGAGTTCGAGACTAGCCCCAGCAAGAGCAAGACCCCATCTCTGCTAAAAATAGAAAGAAATTAATTGGCCAACTAAAAATATAAAAAATAAATTAAAAAAATAAAACTAAAAAAAAATGGTATGCTTTAGTAGTAACAAGCATGTCTTTAATACATTGTATAAACTTAAACAGGAATCTCAGAGTTTCTGTATCTTTTAACACAGATTAAGGAAATTGATGGTGTCTGTGTGTGTATGTGTTTTTCTTTCAAAGGAAGCCATGAATCAACCAGGCCATCTTAAACTGTTTGTGACAAGGATCATGCAGGACTTTGAAAGTGACACATTTTTTCCAGAAATTGATTTGAAGAAATATAAACTTCTCCCAGAGTAAGTATAATGTTATTAGTCTGAAGCTCTATTTATTTATTTTGAGACAGAGTCTCTTTGTTGCCCAGGCTAGAGTGAGTGCCATGGGGTCAGCCTAGCTCACTGCAGCCTCAAATCCTGGCTCAACGATCGGCCTCAGCCTCCCGAGTAGCTGGGATGACAGGCATGTGCCACCATGCCCGGCTAATTTTTTCTATATATTAGTTGGCCAATTAATTTCTTTCTATTTTATAGTAGAGACGGGGTCTCGCTCTTGCTCAGGTTGGTTTCGAACTCCTGAACTCAAACCATCCGCCCACCTCGGCTCCCAGAGAGCTAGGATTACAGGCGTGAGCCACCGCGCCCGGCCAACATGTCTTTTTAGATTGAATTCACAGTAGTAGTATGTTTTATAGACAAATTCTATAGAAATTTTTGGAAATCTGCTTTAGTGGACTTGGAAATGTTCATGCTTTAATGGTTTTGCTGAAATCTATATGATTAGTCATTCTTTCATTCTAGGAGAGTCAGATGCAGTGCTGAGTACTGAGGAAGTGTGTTTACCAGGCCAGCCACCTGCTATTGGTACTTCCCAGAAGATTACATTCTGTCTAGTAGGGGAAAGGGTGGCAAATGACAGACATCAAAAGAGTGTGTGTTGTGTAAACACAACTGAAACATTATGATGTGGTAGATACTGTGTAGTCTGAGAAGTCTTTTCTGGAGAGTGATGCCTTTGCTAAATAGCAAGAAGCCAGCCATGCAAAGAGTAGGAAGCACATTCTAGGAATCAGATAGCTAGTGCAAGGCCAAGGCAGGAGGATCATTTGAGTTCAGGAGTTCAAGACCAGCCTGAGCAAGATCGAGACCCCGTCTCTACTAAAAATATATATATTAAAAAAAAATTAGCTGGGCATGGTGGCACATGCTACTCAGCTACTCGGGAGGCTGAGGCAGGAGGATTGCTTGAGCCCAGGAATTTGAGCTAGGCTGATGCCACAGCACCAGGGCAACAGAGTGAGACTCTGTCTTAAATATGTGTGTGTGTGTGTATGTGTGTGTGTGTATATATATATATATATAGTGCAGAGGCAAGAATGGTCTTGGCTGTTCCTTGAGCCTGACGGCCGCTAGGGGCATTGTGAGCAAGGGGGAGGCCAGCAGGGGTCAGAACAAGTGCAAGTTTAGAGGGTTCTGAAAAGAGTGACCCTGTTCTAGCTGCTTTATGGAGAATGAACTGGAGGGAGACAAGAGTAAACTAGGAATACCCATCAGCTGGAATAGTTCAGGTGAACGATGAAGGGACTTAGATTAAGGTGGTAGCAGGTGATGATGGAGAGAAGAGGTTACATTTGCTTTACCATGTAATTGTGACTGTAGCGTGAGGCTGCCTGATTTTGAAAGCTCACAGCATTTCAGCTTAAAACCACCTTTCAGCTGTTGGCTATAGAGATAAAAGTAAAAGATTAATTATATCAGTAATTTTAGACCAGCTTTTAGCACATTCTTGCAAATATTCTCAGTTTTATCTAATCATTTTTCTCTGAGAGTGGGTTTGTTTTTGAAAGGCCTCCTCAAGGAACATTCAGAGCCAACTCTGAATAAATGGATGGCCAAGTTTTAGAATAGCAGTCCATTACTCTATAAAGTAATAGTCTTTCATCGAGTGGATTGATTGATTTTCTTGGGCTCTTAACTAAAGAAAACTGAAAATTATCAGAACTATTAATAACAGTACAGGCATTTGCTTAGGCTCAAAAGGTGACTACTTAGAAAAGTAATTTCATACATATTTATGTAAAAATAAGTTATTTTACTTTGTCATACCTTATATATTTTCTCTTCTGCTTAGATTGCTGATTATCACATTGCTCTCAATCAGAACTCTTTGCAGAGTAACACAATCATATAATGTGGTCTTTCTTGAAATAGGCTGCTTTCACTCAGCACAATGTTTACAAGGTTTATCCATCTTGTAATATCTATCAGTACTCAATTCCTTTCTGTTACCAAAAAGTATTCTGTTGTATGGATATACCACATTTTATTTATCCTTTCATCAATTGGTGGACATTTGGTTTGTTTCTACTTTTTGGCTATTATGCTGCTGTGAATATTCATTAATGTACAAGTTTTTATGTAGATGTATGTTTTCATTCCTCTTGGGCAGGGGTCCTCAAACTTTTTAAACAGGGGGCCAGTTCACTGTCCCTCAGACCGTTGGAGGGTGTGGCACACATTCCACATATGCGCACTGTGGGCCCAGAACGAGTCGGCTGCCAAGCAGGACAGGCAGCAGCAGCAGCAAAAACACCCGGCGGGCATGAGGTTGCCTGCTTTAGATCTTTCCCCTTGAGCTGGTCAAGAGTGTTCCCAGCTTCTGCCTGGAGGGAAGTGCTCTGGCTGCCTGGGTTCTGGAGAGGCTGGGGGTCTCTGTATACAGTAAGCCTGTGTTCCCATTGTCCTCCTGGCTTAGGTACAGTACTCCAACTGTGTCTGTTTTGCTCTTGGCTATAATTTAGAAGAATCGCTGTGTCGTGTGGACTCTATGTTCACGTTTTGAAGACTTGCTGAACTGTTGTCCAACATGACTACCTTTTTTGCATTCCTACCAGCAGTGAATGGCAGTTATAATTTCAGCACATCCTCAACACTTATTACCTACCTTTTTGGGTATAGCTACCCTACTGGGCATGAAGTATAATAGTATCCCATGGTTTCAGTTTGTATTTCCCTAATGTTTAATGATATAGAGCATCTGTTCAGGTGTTTATTAAGCATTTATATATCTTATTTGGTGAAATATCTATTCAAATCCTTTACCTGTTTTTAAAATTTGCTTATCTTTCTCTTACTGAGTTTTAAGAGTTCTTTGAAAATTCTGGATACTAGACTCTTATCAGTTGTATGATTTACAAATATTTTCTCCCATTATCTAGATTGTCTTTTTCACTTTAATGATACCATTACCCAATCCAAGCTCAAAAAGATTTATTCGTCTGTCTCCAAAGAGTTTATACTTTTAACTCTTACATAGAAGTCTATGATCCATTTGAGTTGATTTATGTATATGTAAGGAAGAGATTGACCTTCATTCTTTTGTAGTTGTCCCAGCACTATGAAAATCAGTTGACCATGAATGTGATGGTTCATTTCTGGAGTTTCAGTTGTATTCAATTGATCTATATGTACATTCCACACCATCTTGATTACTAACTTTTGAATCAGGAATTGCAAGTCTTCCAACTTCCTTCTTTTTCAAGATTTGTTTTGGCTCTTCTGGGTCCCTTGCATTTCCACGTGAACTTTACTATCAGCTTGTACATTTCTGCCAAAAAGACAGGGATTATATATTTGTAGATTACTCAGAGGAGTATTACCATATCGACAATATTAAGTCTTCCAAACTGAGCATGTGATGTCACTCCATTTAAGTCCTCTTGAATTTCTTTCAGCAACGTTTTATAGCTTTCAGTATATACGTTTTATGCTTCTTTGTTAAGAATAAATTTAAGTATTTTATTTCTTTTGATGCTATTGTAAATGGTATTGTTTTCTCAATTTTATCTTTAGACTATTCATTGCTGGTATATAGAAATGCAAGTGATTTTTATTTGTTGATCTTTTATCCTGCAACCTTGCTTAGCTCATTTAGTCATTCTAATTATTAATAGGTTCCTGAGAATTTTCTATATACAGTATAATGTCATCTACAAATAGAGATAATTTTATTGCTTCCTTTCTAATCTGGATTTTTTTTTCTTTGCCTAATTGCCTTGTCCCTCCAGCACAATGTTTACTAGAAGGTGGCAAGAGCAGACATATTTATCTTGTTCCTGATCTTACAGAGGAAGCTTTCTATCATCATTAAAGATAATGTTAGCTGTGGGTTTGTCATACACACCCTTTATCACATTAAGGAAGATCCTTTCAATTTCTAGTTTGTTGAGTATTTCTATCATTTTGTGACATGCTTTTTCTGAGTCTGTTGAGATGATCATATGGATTTTTGTCTTCTATACTAATTAACATTTGAATATACCATCATTCTGGTCTTTTATATTGATTGGCTTTCATGTTAAATAAATCTTACATTTCTGGGATAAATTCCACTTTGGTAATGGTGTATAAGCCTTCTCATATGTTGTTAGATTTAGTTTGTTAATATTTTGTTGAGGACTTTTACATTTATATTCAGAAGCTCTATTAGTCTGTAGTGTTTTTTTTGGTTGTGTTTTTTGTTGTTGTTGTTGTTGTTGGGAAGAGAGTTACAATAACGGATAAGTATGCCAGCATCCTGGACAAAGAGGAAACATAAGCCCATCTAAAACCTACTTCAAGTTGTCCATTGATAAGGGGATCTGTCCCAGCTCTGGACAAACACTGCCTCCAAAGGCCTCTTTGGTCTTTATCTTCTTAGACTACATGGTCACCACACAAGGTTAACTATAAGGAAAAGACTGTTTGGGGCCATTACATAGAAAATGGCTGATATAAAACATGTGGGTCATTGATTTGGGTGGGCTAGTGTAAAATAGTCTGAGATATATTCTTCCAGGCAAGATTAATGAGAGCAGAGCCTTAGAGGACAGGCTGGCACGGTGCTATCAAAAGAATAATTGCACAACAATGACTATAGGGGAAAAAGGCAGACACAAAGTATATCACCTTCCTTTGTTAATATTAAACTTCTGCTCTTAGACTTCATCACTGTGGCTTCATTACACTCTATTTTATTCTCCTTTGTCTCACAATAGTTCTTTCTTTCATCTTTATTTTTCATACTAGTACTTTTTCTTTTTAACCAGGAAGTATGGTGTTAATAAAAGACACTGTGTTTGAACTGAAAGTATAAGCACAAGACGACTACCAACAGAGATAATGGGGCCTAAACCGGGTAGCTGTGGGGAAGGAAAGGGGATAGAGAATGACCAAAGTTCATTTCTGGACAGTAGAGAACAATTCCAAGTTCCCCAAATGTAGAGATTTGGAAAGAATGCTGCTCCAGACTTGAGCAATGT